TAATATTATATATTATATTTGTTTTATTGGATTGGAATTGTGTAGTCTTAGATTTGGTACACTGGTCAGTACATTTGCATACTTTGCAGCATTTACACTTGAAGAACCCTTTCGTGTTGGGTAGAAGACAGGATTGTTTTTTTTTTTACATTCTCCCAAGTGAAATTGGAGGTTAAAATGGATTTGAGCCTGGGAGCTCCTCTAAATACAATGGTCGGTCTCTCTGGTATAATTTTTTTCAAAGTATCATCTTGTTGTAGTAAGTGCCAGTGTTTATTTATTATTTTCTTGGCATGATTGCTTTTATTGTAAAAATTGAAGATAATAGGGAGACTAGGGCGGTTATCGGGAATTTTTTTTTATAGGTTAGGAGTTCTGTTCTTTCTTTGGTTCTAACTACATCTATAGTATTGTTGAGATTGTCTAATGGGTATTTTTTTTCAGTAAATTTTTTTTTTTTTTTAAATCAGCTTGCTTGTTAAAATCTTCTATCTGAGAGCAATTTCTTCTTAATCTTAAAAATTGGCTTTTTGGTGCACTCTCCAGCCATGGCTTGTAATGGCAACTTGAACGGTCAATGGCTGTATTTGTGCATACTTTTTTAAACTAGGTTTTGTGTTTAAGATACCATCTTTAATGAAAATCTCTAAGTCTAAAAAATTAATGGCAGTTTTGCTATATTCACAAGTTAAAATAAGTCCTCTGTCATTGATATTGAGATGGTTGATGAATGAGTTAAGTGAGTCTTCAGGGCAGTCCCATATAAAAAAGAGGTTGTCTATATATCTAAAGTAGGTAACCAGGTTCACCCGCCAGGCATGCTCACCCCAAATGGCAGTGGATTCCCAATCTGCCATGAAGAGGTTGGCATAGCTTGGGGGCAAACCTGGTCCCCATTGCTGTGCCTCATTTTTGTAGGTAAAAACAATTAAAAAAACAAAAATAGTTGTTTTTTAAAATTATGTTAATGCCCTCAATGATAAAATCGATTTGGATGTCAGAGATTCTATTTTCGTGTGTAAGGATATTTTTTACTGCACTGCAGCCTACGTCATGTGGAATAATCATATATAAGGACTGAACATCACAGGTGACTAAAATAAAATTAGGTTGCCAAATAAAATTGTTTAAGAATCTTAAAAGGGACATAGAGTCTTTCAGATAGGACCTCATAAGTTTAACAGAGGGTTGGAGAAGAATATCTATGTATTGTGATAGGTTGCTCAAAAGTGAGCCAATGCCAGACACAATGGGCCTACCTGGTGGGTGGGTTGTGTTCTTGTGAATTTTAGGTAAAAGATATATTACTGGGATTTTCAGGTGTTTCATGAATTTCATGTTTATTTAAAATATTAAGATCTGCACCTTTTTTAAAAAACATTGAAAAGGCCTTTTTTATGTGTGGGGTTGGGTCTGATGATAATTTTTCATATACTTGGGTGTCGTTTAGTTGTCTGTTAGATTCTTCAATATACATGGTACTAGAACGTATAACCAAACCTCCCCCTTTGTCTGCCGGTTTGACCACTATTGTCCTGTCTTCTTGTAGTTATTTTATTGCTAATCTTTCACTTTGTGTTAGGTTGTGAGTGTCAAATTTAGTGGGTTTAATTTTTTCTAGATCTTGTAGTACGAGTTTCTCGAACATAATGAGTGGGGCAGATTTACAGTGAGAAGGATAAAACTTGGATTTTTCTTTTAAATTAGTGTTGATAATTGTGGCCTCTTTTTGTGATGAGGAGGGAGAGGGGAAAGGGGAAGGTGAGCTGGTAGAGGGATTTTGGTGATTAAAAAATCTCTTAAGAGTAGCTTTACGTACGAATTTATTACTGTCTAGGAAAGCTTCAAAAGGTTTAAAAGAGTGTGTAGGAGCAAATTTTAGACCTTTGGTTAAAACAGAAATTTGTGCTGTGGTTAAAACTTTTTGGGATAGGTTAAAAATGCCACACTCTTTCTCATTGTTTGGATCTATGGTCTTTCTAATCTCTCTCTTTTGTGATCGTCTTCCACTTCGCTTTCCTCTAGACTTAAATTTATTTTCTTTGCTCTTGAAGGGTAAGTTGTCAATGTGCATGTGATGTGGTGAGTCTGAATGTCTAAAAAATGTTCATCAATTTCAATTTCGGAATCCAATGATAATAGTTGATACCTATTAGGATGTTGGTACGTGATGGGGGATTTAGAGTGATTTAAGTATTAATTTCTCCTTTGATTGGTGAATTTAGTTCTTTGGGGCTTAGGTGATGCTGGTTTGGTGGTGAGACTGGGTACACTGTAGTAGTCAGACTGTTGTGCATATGTAGAAGGTATTCTACGTGAGGTAGTTTGATATTTTTGTTGAGGTTGAAATTGATAGTGAGGGTTATTGGCGGGTCGGTATTGTCTAAGTGAGGGAGTGTGGTGTTGGTATGTATAAGGTCTGTTATGACGTGTTCTTTGTGGTGAGTAGTATGAGGGTTTCCTTGTTTTAGTGATAAAGTGATTACGAGAGAATTGGGTTCCTTGTTTGGATAATTGTCTGTGATGATTGGAGTATTCTTTGAGTTCATATTGTTTATTTGGTGATGGTGCTTCAGAGGTGTATCTTTTGTTTAGATGATATGTTCTAACTTGATTGTTAGCATAGTCTAACTTGTCTCGGATATATTTTTTTACTTTTATATGTTTGGTGTCAGTTTCAATTTTTTTCAATCTTACTTTGAATGAGAATAGAATTTTGTTTGTATACTTTTGTTTCAAGGAATGGTAACAGTTGCTCTTTGAGGTAATTGATTTGTGAATCTAATAGTGATAATTGTTTACTTTTTTCACCAAAAGTGTTTCCATTAAACCAAAAGTACAAATTTCAAGCTTATTGTTCCATTCCTCCATGAACTCAATATCGTCCTGGTCTGAGGTTGGGGATTTAAATAATCTCAAACATCTAGGTGTGATACGTTCGTCAATATATTTCTTTAGAGTGGCAATTTTCCATTTTAATTTAATTTCTGTGCTTAGGACTTTTTCAAGTTTTGTGAATAATTCTTGTTGACTGGAACTATTCTGTCTTAGAAACACAGGACTATTAGTATCTGTATTGAATACACTATTAATATCAATTGTGTAGTTGTTTCTGAATTCAAATATAGACATAATGAATAGAAAAGCTGTTCTACTCTACTACCAAGTTCTACTCTATTGAACTCTGTTTTATCAACACTATCCCAACCAGGACTGTTATTATTTATTCATCCTGTTTATTGGCGCAGACCCATTCCTTACTTATTTGCTTTTAACTCCAAACCATCAACATCAAGAACAGTCACCACATGGGAACGTCCAAAATGAAAACAGGCTGTGAAAAGATAAAAATATATGATAAAATCAATATCAATATGACTGCCTTATGCATATCTGAAACCACAATGTTATACGTAGATGAAAAACAATGATACAACATAAATCATAAACCAAACAAACACCACTTACCGTGGAGAGAACCCAATCATAACCAACCAGGTAAGGTCCCAAAACCCACCGGGCGGGTGGGCGGGAATAATACTTGCCTCCGTGTCATTATAAAATCATGACTTAACATCATGTTAATAGTAAAATCTTGGAATTTTATTAATGACATGGAGGCTCCTATTATGCTAGTTCAAAGCTGAGCCACAACCTGAGAAGAAAAATGGTCAATCAGGCGAAAATAAGTCTTGGAAATGTCGATTTGTGTGACTAATCCGCTGCTTTCAATATATCATCAAGGTGACAACAGATCCTAGAAGCTTTAAGAACGTCAAGGTATCAACCTCCTCCAAGGATAGAAGATCCTTGACCCAACGAGCTAATGTGGGTGTAGAAACAAAATAAACAGTTGACACAAATCGGGTGACCTCAACGTCCGAGTATGATCCAGATAAGATCGAAGACAAGCTACCGGGCACAGGGCAGGTTGAACAGAGTACCTCGGGTAGGAGACTGACTTAGTCCTCCGAGATATGTTAAACAATATCGCGTTCCAGTCCAAAGCTCTAACATCCAATATCCTCTTACAGGAGAGCAGACAAAGCAAACATCAGCAGCTTCCAAGACAGGTGCTTCAGGGACAACTCTTCATTCGGTAACCAGGAATCCAAAAAGTGCAACACCACATTGACTTCCCAGAATGATGAGTATCTGGCTCTTGGAGGTCTAGAGAAACGGATAGGGTTAGGGGTAGGGTTAGGGGTACAGGTGGGTTTAGGGTTAGGGTTAGATTTAGGGGTAGGGTTAGGGGTAGAAGAAGGTTGGGGTTATTGTTAGGGGTAGGGTTGGGGGTGGGATTAGGGTTTAAGGCTAGGGGTAGGGTTGGGGCTGGAGTAAGGTTAAGGGGTAGGGTTAGGGTTGGGGTAGAGTTAGGGGTTAGGGGTAGGGTACAGGGTAGGGTTAGGGTATGGTTAGGGGTAGGGTTAGGAGTAGGGTTAGGGATCTGCCAAAGTCCCAAATTCCCAAAGTCCCAAATTTCTAAATTGACGAAATCCTGAATTGTCGAAGTCCTGAAGCTAACTGAATTTTTTGCCCATGCACATCCCTAATAGAAGGCATATTCAGGGTCATCAGACCCCGTCTCCCCACTCTGGTCGGAATTTGACCCATCATTTTGGGTGCGCACCATTTCCATTTTCTGTCCGATTTTGCCCAGCCAGGGGCTCTTTTGCGTGGTACAACCTGCATCAGTGGGAGAGGGGACGTATGTTTAGACTATCGCTGAAGCCAGGGCCACAGTGGAGTCCAGGAGGGCTTGGAACTTCTGAGAGGGCATGAGGCCAGCATCCCCTGTAGCAGGGGTAGTAGGGAATCCATGCGGGGGTAAATAGGGCTGTCAGCTCTTTCTCCACGTGCCTGCATAGATATGGGATGACAAAAACACAAGGGAGAGCTTGTAGGAAAATGCCAGGCCTAAGGATGTAGACCCAAGCCTAAGGTATAGTAACCCAGGGAGGGTGGGTACAGGGATTGAGTAGCCTCAGACAAAACAATACCTGTGGATGTAACAACACTAAAAACCACCACAGAGGGAGTTAGGAGCCGTGCCGCCGGAGATTTTGCAGCACGAGGTCTAACAGACTGCAGGGAAAACGCCTTTGCGTGCTTCCGGGAAAAACTTGCCGAAGGGAACACAGGCTGCGAAAACCAGGAAGACCGGGCAGTACGAGGAGTAGGCACTTGCAGCAATACAAGGGGGTACGCTGCAGTGGCAGTGGAAAAAGGGAAACCCCCGCCTTTAGACGAGAGCCCCAGCCTATGCTTGCAAAATTCAGCACAGGCAGGGAACCACGGCCAAACAGAGTAAGGCAGAACCGAGAGTTCTGCCCCAAAGTGAACACAAACAGTTAAAAAGTAAACACAATGAAAAAACGCTGCATTTTAACACAAGATCCAAGTCTTAGGGAGATTGAAAAATATACTTAGCTGGTCTGAGGAGCCCTGTTACTAGGCAGAGTTGTTATGTTTGATTTTTTTGTTCATATTTTCAAGTTACATTTTCTCTTTGCTGCTGAGGGATATCTTAAAGAAAGAGAAAGCATAATAGCATGAAAGCATAATAGGAGCCTCCGTGTCATTAATAAAATCTAAATTTCTTTTAGTGGGTGTAATTTGTTAGTGTGTTCATGCAACGTTATACTATTGGTTTATCCTTATTTTTTTTTGTTGGTACAGTCAAAACAAACCAACGTTTTTTAATATTTGGATTGTCTTCATCTCCTGTCTTCTCTTGGATAATCTCTATACTGTCGTAGCTATTCATATTAGCAACCTACATTCTATGAATGGGATTGCATCATCAACTACCTAGAACTCTCTATGCTCTAGGTCATGCGAGGTGTCAAATTTTATACCTTTTTTTAAATTATATATTACATAGTCATTTCATATGCACTGTTGGAATAATTTTGTCCTTTCATGTGTAGTATCATGTCCTACTAGAAGCAACCTACAAATTCTACATATCGCTGATAAGGGATTATGTCTTTCTAAATGTGAACAGAAGTCTTTAAGTTTTTATATTAACCACTTATAATATATTTCACTATATTTAGTTTTCTATTAATATAGGTTCTTCCTCATCGTATCTAGTTTCTCAAGACATTGATGATTTCCCCAGGCATTGATTAAGCTGCCATCTTGAGTGTTTGGAGCTCAATGTTGCTCCTTATGGCGTGAGTCTGCTTTTGTATAGCCATAGTACATATTATACATCTTTACAGTATTGTTGTAAGTAATCTGGATACACTCTGGATACATATTTATGTATATCTCTATTTGTTCATCGCTCAATTACCTAATAACAAATGACTGCTTTGTGAATAAAGACCTACTGCATTCTAGTTGAATTCTAAAAGATATAGAAAACAGAACTTACATTTTAGAGATGGTGTTTATGCACATAGTTTTCTCTATAAATGACATAATACAAGGCTCCAAAATACGATATATATTTAATGGTGAAAATGTAATTATTTCACTGGTGCAATCTGAGAACTCTGGTTTAAATACGGTTATGTTAGTTTTGTTATGTGAATAGTAGTAGTCTCAGTGTACTATTAAACATACAGATGAAAAAGATAATCAGAGCAATACTAATGTCATCTGATATTGTTTTAATAATGAGCAGAAGTCAGTCTTGTTTTAGTAGTTGACTTTGTTTTACTGATTTACTATCAGTCCATTTAATAAAGCGATCTTTCCTGCAGCACCTACCAAAGTTTAAACTTGTAGTAGGTATATGTATAAAAAGCTGTCATGCTCCACTTTTAATGACAATTACTTTTGTAATATCTTCCAATTTAATTTACCAATGGATCTGTACATAAAATAATACAATTTACTTTGCCTCTTACTGGCTTAGCTTTTACCCAATGGTACGGTTAGCATTAAAACACACAACATATTTCTATAATAATAAATGTGTCCATGTCTGCAGCTAATGGTGCATTAGCGAACAAAAAAATCTGCAGAGATGAATTGGTGACAAATGTACCATGTTCGTTTCAGGAAATAACCAATTCGCTCGGTGATGTCAGTGCATACTATGGAAGTTTTTTTTAATTTGTATACTGGTGCAAGTTCGACATTGGTGTTTTAGAAGATGCGGTAACAAGCAGCTCATTCCTTCTGTTTTCAAATTTTAAACTTCAATAGGTGTGCAAGTTCTTGGATCTAGTGTTTCATTATGTGCATTCTTATTATTTGATTTGCTTTACTCTTTTTATGACAGTCCTAGTATTTTGCATAATCTTTGATTATGTAGATAAAAGTTCTGCTAAATGCACCGGAGATGGAAATGCATCCTTTCTTGGCACTTTGACTGGCCTGCTAAAGGCTAAACCCAGCATTATGGTCAACTTTGTATATGTGAGTAAAGACTGTGGTTGTTTCAGTTTAGTCTCTATTTCTTTATAGAAAACCATACAAGAGATGCTGAGGTTGCTAGGCAACAAGATGCTGTGTGCCACAAAGCACATCCTCAATGCGTGTCACAGACAGGTAACCCTCTGTGTATTCACTTCCTCACAAACAAACATGGACAGTAGAATTTGGATAAACGATTATGGCGTAACTCTGCTTGTGACATATCAAAAAAAAATCCCAGAGAGCCAATGCATACATCTACAGTACTATATTAGAGTCATATTTCCCTCTAAAAACTGAGGTGACCTACAAAACCCAGGTTAAGAATATCTATAATGACACTGCACTCTATTGGCTCAATTCAAATGTAACATTAAAAAGGACATCCACCAAAGATCAGTACAATGAACACAAAATATGGTATACCGATAAATGTCGTTTTTTTTTTTTTTAAAGTTACCAAAACATTTAAATAAACACTCTATCACTATGAATCCAAACCTGTATTGCTAACGCTAAAGTGCCTGACTCCATAATTAGATTTAATTTGCACAATACAATTTAGGTACAAACCTTTTTACTTACTTTTTCCATGGCTGAGATACTAATTTTGTGTAGCCAATCACGATCACTGTTTTAAAACTCCTCATCAATGAGGCATTACCCCTTCACTATTAAGCCTTATTTTTAAACTGAGTTTTATACAATATGGTAACGTCGGCTGTATTGCAGCATGACGGTTTAAATCGGTAAGCAATCCGTTTTTTGTAGATTATGTATAAATGCTAAATCTGCAATTCTGCTAAAGAGCAATACATAGAAACATTCCATTGGTTCCCATGGCTACTGCTATTGTTGTATAATGTTACCCTAGAATTCCTATTTATATATACTATAGTGCCTAGTAACATTCAAAGTGTGTTAAGGAGACAGAATTTAAATTTAAAGAATGACTACAGTCACAAAGTCACTTCATTCCAATAAATGTGGTCTGGGTTCAGTGACCGTCTGATTTTAAAACATTGTCATTTGGAGAAATTTTATGAGTAATGTTTACATTGCATGGTTAAATACGCTTTGAGTGGTTATCTTACAAACAGCCACTAGAGGCGCTTCCTAAGCAACAGCTAGTGAATCTCGGTCATATTAACAAATGTTGCTAATAGAAAAATATTGAATTCAATGCTTTCCTATGAGAAGCATTTGATGCCTACGCAGTCAGTATGTCAGTAATGATAAAGGGACTGACTTAATACAAGCTGTTGCCAGGAAGGGTGACTCTCAAACCTCTATAGCATGTTGTGGCATGAATGCCCAATCATTCTCAAAGATTTATGTATCCCTAAACATGACCTTAACTTTTATCATAATTAGAAAACAAAACACAAAAAAACAAAACAAGAGATATATAAGATTCCTACCACTGTGTATTTTATTAGGTTTAATATCTTAGCAGGATAGGGTAGGGCTAAGGTTTATGGCAGCAATGGGGCTTTCATTTTGCAGTCTACAAAAGACTGGTGGGAGTTACACTCCTGTGAAACATATAGCATTAGCTGATAGATGATACTAATAGGCTTATATTCTGTTGGGAAACACAAACCACTACTTTATGCCTGCGTTCGGTTCAGGTGTGTCACTGGTCATTAGTGTAAACAAAAGGTACCCATGAGCTGGTTAATATGTCTATAGAATGCACATTTATCATGGGAGCTAGAGTTGGATACCAGCTGCAGGGCATACATTTTGAACTATCTGATGACTTATAACAGAAAGCCTATGCATGCTCTGTAGTAGTGTTTCCTCCAACGTGATGCGGACAGGTGAGTTTCCACCAGTGGCTCTGTATATTTCTTTTTGCTTGGCCAAACTCATGAAATTGCCAAAGTCCCGAATTGCCGAAGTCCCGAATTTTGGAAGTGCCGAACCGAAGTGCTGAAGTCCCAAATTGCCCAAGTCCAGAATTTCTGAAGTGCCGAACTGAACTGAAGTGCAGAATTGCTGAAGTCCCGAATTTCGGAAGTGCCGAACCGAAGTCCCGAACTGCCGAAGTCCCAAATTTTGGAAGTGCCGAACCGAAGTGCCGAAATCCCGAATTGAATTTTTTGCCCAAGCACTTAGCACGTGTCTGGCAGGGCTGCGTTTGTTGAGTGATATAGAAACACTCAGCATGATTAGGGGAGGTAGGGGGAAGAAAGAGGAGGTGATTTAGCTTAAAAGGAATGAAAAACAAGCATACAAAAGAGAGAACTAGCTTACCTAAGGTGGAGACGTGGCTTCGACATAATGGTGCCAATGTCAGAGCCGCTATTACATGACTAGCTATGAAAAAGGAAGATACAAAAAAAGGGGGAACTTGGAAGTGGCATAACAGCTAAATAAAACAAAATAAAACTATATATGGGCTTGACAGTGGGAAAGGATGTATGGAAAAAGGGGCATGTGGATATATGAATAAAAATGCTGGAAAAATATATAAAAATATATTTGGAAAATTGAAAAAATATATCTACATAACAATTGTGTGAAAAAGGGGGAGATTGATATATTTAACAATATGTTTTAAAAAAAGAAAGAAAACAAAGATAAAAGGGAAAATACAATATATATATATATATATATAATTTGTCCAATAGTGATGACTGCACTCCTCGGGCTTGTTTTAAAATGAAATGCTGCTTTATTTAGAGATACATTAAAAAGATCAACGTTTCAGCCCCACTCTGGGCTTTCTTCAGGATCAAAAAATTACACACAATAAACATATACAGCCTGGACTGACTTATATACCATAAATAAAATAAATCAAGAACTCAACTGCTTATATTTGCACTTT